TACTAAAAAAATTCAAGATGACGGGGGGGCAAAATCAATTACCCCACAAACCACCTCCACTGGTGTGAGCCCCCATCTGGCCCCCAGGCCTTCTGGCATAGCCAGGATTTCACACCTTTCCCGAAGGCCATGAGAGTGGGGGTACACCGCACCTCAGGAGGTAGGTTGTTCCACAGAGCGGGGGCCACAGAAGAAAAGGCTCTCTTCCTAGATCCCACTAGTCGAAATTCCTTGACTGGAATTTTATTTATTGATATGGCAGATAATTTTAGATATTTAATGATAACTATATTTCTTAGGGCTGCATCTGCATAGAGAATGCTGATACCCTTCTTCTAAAAGCACCCAAAGATTCCTTCACAATGAGAAACACTGAACGAGGAATTGGCCAGGCAGTGCACAAATTCACCTTCACCCAGGTATGTTTTTTGACCTAGTGCAATGGTGCTCCTCCTTCATGGACCTCTACTAAAACTGGTAGAGACTGGTGTTTGAAACTCTTTTGGTAGGGCTCTTGCAAAGAGACTAGAGAACTCATGAGAAACAGGGATTAATTCCTGCTAATTTGATGTAATGGTAACCTACCTTGTAAACAATGTTAGGGCATTAACCTTTAGCATTTGATGTTCAGATCTTTGGACCAGAGATAGGCCAGAAATCATTCTTTGATGCGACAATGAAGGAAGTGGTGAAGGATGTACTCAGTGGGCAGAACTGGCTTGTTTACACCTATGGCGTCACTAATTCAGGGAAGACTTATACAATCCAGGGTAAGAAGCACTTAGTTTATAATGGTCCAGATAACCTCTGCTTAATAGGGGTCCCTTGTCTTGACGTGACTGTTTGTTTCTTTGTCCTTGGCTTGCAGGAAGTGGTACCGACAGAGGGATCCTGCCCCGCTCCCTAGCCATCATATTCAACAGTATTGGGGCGCGGTTGTACCGAGCCACAGACCTGAAACCTTTCCTATCAAGCATAGTGAACTGGCTGGACAGCAAACAGATTCGTCAAGAGGAAAACAAGAAGCAGGCTCTGATCTCTGGTGGGATGAAGGAGGTAAGTACCTCAAAGCCCTTAAGGGCAAGGAAGAGGATGACCTAGTCAGAAACCCTGCTGCCTTTCTTTCTTCTGTATTGGCAGGAGGAGCTCTTTACTTCTCTGAGCAAAGGTCACAGCACAGCATCCCAGCCGCAAGCACCCACAAGTGGTAGCATTGACAGTGGCATTGGTGGTCTCTCTTCCATTTGCCAGTCGACAAACCAGACACACTGGAGCCATCTGGAAGGTGCGCCCTGTCCTGAACCTTGGTTCTGGGGCAGTTTTATTTTCCATAGAATTGAAAAGCTAAGTGCTATAGCATTTCAAAACTAAGCATAGTAAAACATTAGGCAGTAAGAAATGCAGTAAAAATACATTCTGGAACAATGGAATTCAGGAGAAGCATCTGAATCAGAAGAATATCTGTAATCCTATCATAAAACAGCCTTAACCAAAGGTTGGGGGTCAGAAAAAGTTTCAGTTACATTTCACAGGAAAGGACCCGGTTTAGGCAATGTTTGGTTTTTCTCTGGTGTGGCTTATAAACTGCACCTTCAAATATCTTCTGGTTTAGCAATTACTGGACAATGAAACATCTTTTGTTCCTAACTGTGTAGGCTTTGAAAAGTAGAAAGTAAAGTAGTTAAAACTTTCACTTAGCATTCAGAAAGATGTGAGAAACCTATCCTGGAGAGAAATACATTTCTTGTTTAATAGATAACTTCTGCTTTAAGCGTGAGGAAATGTTAGTTAAGGTATTGAACCTGGGGTTATTAGGAACAATCACTATGGACTTTGACTGGATTTTCAAAAAGTCTGTCTTAATTGGGTCAAGCTATGAATTGTTGCAATCACTGATAACCTTTTTGTTTTGTTTTCATTGATAGAGACAGGACCTCACAAGGCCGACCCAGATAGTGTTTCATTTGTGACTCAAGAGGACGTGCGATTTTCTATTTGGGTCTCCTTCTTTGAGATCTACAATGAGCTGATTTATGACTTGCTGGAGACTCCTGCACCTGCCTCAAACCGCAAGAGGCCAACTCTGCGGCTCTGTGAGGATCAGACTGGAAATCCATATGTTAAAGGTAGAAATCAGCCTTCTCACCCAGATTATAAATTGGAGTAAACCTGTAGGAATAATTGATCCAGCTGGTCACTCATCTAATGAGCCATATTTTGGGTGGCTTGAAGCAGTGACAGATGAAACAGTCCCTTTATTGAGATGTAATGTTTTCCCTGATGATTCCTAGATAAATGTGGAGTCTAAATCCTGGTATTTCGGCTCCCTGACTCATTTCTACTTTTGCAGACCTGAACTGGGTCAATGTGCAAAATGCTGAAGAGGCCTGGAAACTACTGAAATTAGGCCAGAGAAATCAAAGTTTTGCCAGCACCCACATGAATGAGAATTCTAGCCGCAGGTCTGTCATATCCTTTATTTTAGTGACAGTGGGGGTGTTGGGATTCTTGATGATTAGCAAAGCATGTTCTCTGCATAATAAAATGAATTCCCTCAAGACTGTGAAATAATAGAATAAATGAGATTAATAACTTGAACCAGCTGATCATCTAAAAATGGTTCTTCCTTTGCTCTCTGTAGCCACAGCATCTTCTCCATCCGAATTCTACACCTTCAAGAAAGCAGCAGTAAAATGGTCCCAAAGATCAGCGAGTAAGGCAAAGCTTTATTAATGAAGGCCTGAAGGGAGTGGGACAGACAGCTTCGTTTTTGCTTTCTGCACAGGGAAGCCATCTTGAGTAGCTTTGACATGCACTTGTCAGAGTGACAACTTTGGGTTGGTGTAAAATGTTCAATTTCTACCCTACATCTAACATGAAATGAAAAAGACTTTGCCCTCTGTCCCTGTCTGGAGCAAGGCAACCTAAATCCTAGAGCAGCAGAATTAAAGGGCAGAACTGTGATTGGGCCTTATTGATTCTCATGCTGGTTGCCAGGATTTCTAACCTGAAACTAGGATGGTGGGAGGCTTCACTGAAAGGGGAATGGTGGCCTTGGAACATCTAGCATCCTTGCATCAAACACTCCTCTTTCTCTTCACCAGGCTCTCACTCTGTGACCTTGCTGGCTCAGAACGCTGCAAAGAACAGAGAGCTGGGGACCGTATGAAAGAGGCCAATAACATCAATACATCTTTGCACACTCTGGGGCGATGTCTCACAATCTTGCGCCAGAATCAGCAGACCAAGTAAGCTAAAGGAATCCCTACTTCTAGCTCTCACTGACTCTCCATAGCTTTGTCTTGCCCTTCCGGTATTAAGTCTAATCTGGTTGGAGATACTGATGAATGTGCAATGGTGCTCTGGGCTTTGATGATGATGATGATGTATGGTAGGCTTTGGGCTTTATATGAGCATTTCCAGAGCACAAATCCTCTTCTCTCTCTTTCTTTAAATAGGTCAAAGCAGAATGTGGTGCCCTTCCGGGATAGCAAATTAACCCGTGTGTTCCAAGGTTTTTTCACAGGACGTGGGCAGTCCTGTATGATTGTCAACATCAACCCATGTGCTTCATCCTATGATGAGACCCTCCATGTGGTTAAGTTCTCTGCCATTGCCAGCCAGGTAAGATGAGAAATACTGGAGTTAAATTGGCTAGTTTTGGAGTGCTTTGCTGGGTAGAAAACACAAAGGATAGAACGTTCACTGCAATATTTATGTATTAGAGTTTACTGTGGCTACCTAGCCAATTACTAGTCTAGCCAGGATGTCCTTCCTCCTCCATCGCCAGAACAAAAGGGTATAAAGCAAGAAAATGTTTTTTTTCTGCAGTGGTCATCTCTCTCCACTTGATCCAAAGGCAGGATTAGAACAAGCTTGGAAGTTGTTTCCTGTGGGCCCTGCCTTGCTCTGGAGAACATGCAGTCCCACATGCAGTTCACCAATCATATGACAAGGACTTTCTCAAGCAAACAAATTATGTTCAAGCAATTTATGTTGATCTTTGGGAGACCAGTGATAGACTTCTTAGCTACACTTCTACCAGTTGCAAAGCTGGAGTGCTTCATCCTTTGCTTTCCAACCAGGTAGCAGTGGCAACAAATGTCTTCAAAGTTTCCTGGCAGAAAGCCCTACTATATGCCTTCCCCCATACTACTAACTCCTTAGTGTGAGACCAGAGTGTGGACTTGATAGTGATAGGCCTAAATTGATCACTCCAGGGAGCACTGAAAGACATTCTGCTACACTATACTACAACTTCTATAGCTCAGCTCTGAGGCCTAGAATTGCTGGACCTTTGCAAGGTTGCGACCTGGTCCCAGTCCTTTTTCCTCTTGAAACGCTGGTTTGGGTATCCTGTTGTGATCTGATGCTTCCTTTGGATGTACTATTCTCTCCTTTTATTGTGGTAGGGCATCTGAATAAATGAGGCTGCTAATTACACTGTTGTGTGATGTATAGAGAACATGTAAAAGAACAAAAGTTACTTATTTGGAACTGGTTTTTCTAATGGTCATCTGTGCATTCATACTGTCAACCTTCTTTTGCATTACCCTTGCTTATAAAATTGGAGTTCTAGGGCTGCTTCAGTGGTCTCAAGGAAATGAGGGAAAAGGAAGGAACTGTCTTCCACATGCACATTATGGTGGCAGTTCCCACCAAAAATCCCTTGCTTTAGAAGGTTTTCAATGATTTCCAGTGAGGGTCATATGGAGGCACAAAATCCATGTGCATAGATCAGTGTTGTCCAAACTTGGCCACTTTAAGATGAGTGGACTTCAACTCCCAGATTTCCCCACCCAGCCATGTTGGCTGGGGAAT